TTGCTTCCTTTTAGGGCTAGCATGAGAAACTAGGACAAATTCTGGTGTTAATGGCTAATCTGTAGCTGAATGTTTCTTTCCTCAGAAAATAAACTTTCTTTTAAATTGAGGTGTTAAAAGTATGAGTTTTGGGATGTGAGAAAAAAGTTTGAAATCCATAGTTTTTTCATAATACACAGTTTCCATGAACTTTTTGAAGACTGTAAATTCAAGTAAAGAGGCATCAAGGAATCTCTTTGTACTTTTGGTGTAACTGGCCTTTCTCCTCAGCAGCCCAGAGAACTTTTCTCAAATAATCACAGACTCTGAAAGTGCTATTAGACAGTAGCAATGCTGGGTTGCCTGCCACACTACTTGTACTTATTTGGCATCTAATCTCATATCCCATCATATTCCCTATGATCTTTTTTTTTTTTTTTTGAGAGAGATTTTCGCTATAGGGCTTGTGCGCTTGCCAGACAGAGACACAGAGACAAAAAGCGAGAAATCACTCCCCCAGGGGGGATGGTCACGCCACAATCCCTTCTCCATTCTCCTCTCGGGATCTTGGGCAGGCATACACATGCACCCGGCGTGAGTTTTAAGTCACTGGGTCCAGGACGCGAACCGCGGTCCAACTATGTGGGAGTCCAGCGACATAGCCATTACTCTAACTGCTGGTTCCTCCTATGATCTTTTTTAAAGCATGTATTCTGAACATTGTCTCCATAAGGTCATAAGTGTTTGCAGACAGGAAGTTCTTAAAAGCCTTCCTAGGAGGTGAGTTATAAAGTGGCAAGTATGTCATTCTGAAGGAATGGAACTTCAGGGATGACAGGATAGCAAGTACTTCTTTCTTGAAAGGGACCTGATGATGTGCCCTTGTATGGTGTCTTCCTGCTTTGTCAAGTCCTATGACATTCTTGCTTGAGTTCTGGAGCAGTGAGGCCTACAGCAGGGAATGGTAGTTAACTAGGAATTCCTGAGCTACAATTCCCAGGAAAGCAGTGGGTTGTGGGTGGGAGGGAGTGGTCAGATTAGTCTGTATCAGTATGCCTGATAACAGCCTGTTAATATTTTATCAATGATCATATCACAGCATATAGTGAGCTATCACTCAGGGCAGAAGAAAGAGATAACCACTGGACTTCCTGTTTGAGGTTCTTTTCCCTCTTAAAATAACAAAATTGCTCATAAGAGGCAGGAGCTGTTTTGGCAGGGAGACTAAGCTGAGCCAAGACCAGGCTTCAGCTAGCTGAGGAGGTGCACATGCTCTTCGCAGCCTGGGGCCTCTATTTCCCAGAGTAGGTAGCTGCAGGCAGGAAAGAATCTCCTTTCCATGGGCCTAGGACTAAGTGAGAGAGGGAACAGTTGACCCTGCAAGTCCTCACTTTGTCCTACTCTTTCCTCATTTCCTTCTCCCACACCTGTGTTTCTCCTTTGGTCCAGAGTCAAAAGACCCTAGGATACTAAATGGGCAATTCTGGGTAACCAGCAGTTAGCGTAATGGCTATGTCGCTGGACTCCCACGTAGTCAACCACAGTTCGCGTCCCAGACCTGGTAGCTTAAAACTCAAGCTGGGCGCGTGTGCGTGCGTGCCCAAGATCCCGAGAGGAGAATGGAGGAGAAGGGATTGCGGCGTGACCATCCCCTCTGGGGGGGGGGGGGTGATTTCTCGCTTTCTGTCTCTATGTCTCTCTCTGTATGGCGAGTGCACGCGCCCTATAGCGAAAACATCTCAAAAAAAAAAAAAAACCTAAATGGGCAATTCTGGAAACCTGTCTAAGGAAAAGAGATGAGTTAGAGAGGCTGAGCTCCAGAATCACTCCCTCTTTTAGAGCCAGTTAGAGATCCCGAGAGTTAAACTTGAAAGGATTCTGGGTTAGCTCTGCAGCTGCTTCCTCAGCACTAGATGGCATTTCTCATAATCTTTCAGCTGCAGGAAGCAGTTTCTTTCTCTTTTTCTCTTTCTTTTTTTCTTTCTTTCTCTACTTTCTTCTTTTTGGTAATAATTATTATGGTAGTTTCTGTTTTTAAAACTGTTTTTCTTTTTAACATTTAACTACTGTACAGCATACAAAATGGACTTTCTGGGTATGTCTTCTTTCTTTCCTTCTTTCATCTTTCTTTTTCTTTCTTTCTCTCTTTCTTCACAGCATGGATATACTGTATATTAATCCATTCAAAGATATTACCATATACATTCTCATCAACAGATAGTTTTCCATTTTCATGTCCATTAGATGTTTTGCCTTTTTTTCCCTTGATTTCTTCCCTCCTGCCCCTCATTGTCCACCCTCCTCCCACACTGTTTCTAGTATCCACAGTTGTTCTCCCAGCTTTTATACCTTCCAATCTTTCAGTTTCTGCTATAAAATGCAGACATTCAGTATAAAGTGGGCATATAGAATGCCTCTGTTCCATAGTCTGGCTTGCTACAATACAGACTATTGTAGTTTCTAATACATCTTTGTGGGGAACAGTGCATTTTTTTCAAAGCATGTAATACATAATAATAAAATCAAAGAAATAAACAGGACCAGCCCATGGCCCAGTTGTTGGGGAAGCAAGATTCCATATGGCTGACCATGTAATTTGAATCCCAGACCTAGGGACTTAACAAACACATTGGGTGCATGTGCATGTATGCCCCAAATTCCAAGGGGATGGAGAAGTAGAGAGGAGACTGTGGTATAATGTCCCACTGGGGGATGTTTTCTCCCTGTCCCTCTCCTTCTGTCTGTCTGGCCAGTACACACTCCCTCTGGCAAATCAAATAAAAAGGAAATAAACATATCCACCATCTCTTCTCTCTAGCATCCTTCCCCAAGAAGATCAAGTAGCATCAGGGCCTCATTTCATGTACGTTGGAATTTAAAGGGACTTATCTAATTAATCTCAGCCACTTTCATCTCCTATTTTATGTCATTTTTTCTTGTCTCTAATAGGACAGTCTATATTCTGCCTCTTACCAGTTAGGTGTCTTACCTCCCCAAGATTAGCTGTCAGCTCCTATGAAGCACAGACTTTACCTGTCATCCTCAAAATCCTTAGCATTGCCTGACACAGAGTAAGCATTCAGAGAATATGAACTGGCTGGCTAGATAGCTGGTCAAACGGCTGTTTGAGTGGCTGGATAAAGGTCTTTCTGAAAGCTGGAGTTTGCCTTTCTACCAAGAAGAGAGTTTCAGCTTCTACACACTCCTCCATTAATGATCACATAGCAGTAGGTCACTAGGGCCCCAAGGGGGATAAAACATGAGTCACACTATTATCAGAAGAATGAAGGCGGCAGAAACATCCTTCCTTGTGCAAGGGTCAGAGCTATGAGGCTGGGGCATAAACACAATGGCCTTCACTATTCCCTACGTCCAGTGCTAATCTAAATTACTTTATGATGGAAGGCAATGGGGTAAGCTGAAAGCTGTTCCGCTTGGACCCAGACTTGGGAAGATTTCTAGGAAACTATTTAGAGCAAGCTTTTTCTTACTCAGTGAGCCAAAGGGAACAGTTCTTTGTCAGGTCTGCCCTGGTTTTTCTAACTCCTTCCATTGAATCTTCCCCAGATAAGCAAAGGTGGGAGGACCCCTCAAACTAGCCTCATACTAAAATGAAGGAAGCTCTGTGCCCTATTCCTTCAAGGGCCCTTGCATTCTAGTGGCAGACAGGGACAGGATGAGTACAGGAACTTGAAGAGCAACATGCCCTCAAACAGCTTCTGAGACCAGAATCCCAAACCCATGCTACTGTGAGAGTAGTTTCTAGGCTTGTGTTAATAGTCAGATACTCTGACTTAAGGGATTTTACTCAGATCTCTGTGTCCCCACTTTGTCTCCTGTAAAAGATCTCCCTCACTGGAGAATTTGAGAATACAGAGAAATTGGTGGATCTGAAAAATATTTTGGCTACCAGATGGGTCATCAGAACCCAGACAAGTCTGTTACCCAACCAGCACAGCAGTCAGCTAGGCATCTCCATCTTCCAACCTCCAGTGGCCACCAATTAAGGGAGTTCCAAATCCCAGACCAGAAATGTGGTCTCTCGTAAATCTTTTGTCCAGAGAACCCTCTGTCTCCACCTTTATTTCTGGCTACTGCCATTCCTTTAATGTGCTTAAATGCTGAGGTTCCAGCCTCTGCACTGAAGAAGGCCCACTTCAGAGTGCAAAGATAGTGTCTGGGATAATAGGTTCCTATATGCTGAGGCCCTCTAGGTATAGGGGCTGGATAAGCTGAATCTTGAGGCCTCCATTATTGTCAGTGCTGGCACAGTTGTCACTCTTATGAATTATGAATGCTTCGTTAATACTCAATGAGGTTAGAACAGGAACAAACCATTGCCCTCCCAAACTTCCACACCTCCAGAGTTAAGACAATTGGAACTGAAATGCTATGTCTTATTCAAATGTAAGCCTGGCATCCCCTTTGGTGAGACTGAGCTAGCTAGGCCCAGTATGTCCAGCTAGCCAGAGTGACAGGAGAGATAGCTCGAGGTGATACATACACTCAATGAATTTGTCCTGATTTTCCAGATGTCCTCATGGGAGACCAGGAAAGACTGTGCTGCCATTGTTACCTTGCAGGGCATAAGTTATTTTTCTCAGGCAGCTCAAAGACCTTCTATTGGCTGTGAATGTTGTTGGATTAACAAGGTCCTGGTTTAGGACCAGGAACATCAGCTATGTGGCCCTGGGAAAATTTCTTTACTTGTGTATCTCTTAGTTTCCTCATCTGCCAAATAGAGATGATCAGATCTATTTCAGCTTCCTCATAATGGTGATTCAGAGAATGAAAGAAATAAACATAGCAATTCAATAAATAATCATTGTGAAAAAGGAGGAACCCTGGGGAAGACAAAGAGGTTACAGTTACTTTGAGGTTGTCATACCTTCTAATTGTTTCTAATAAAATCCAAAATTGTCTTTCCACCCTATAGGAAGACTAACTTCTACCCCACCCTCCCTTTATACAGTTCCCCTCCAGTCACACCTGCCCTGTCTGGGCCTGTTTTAATCAATGAAACAATTACTCAATCAACAAGTGTTTATTGATCACCTACTGTGTGCCCAGCACTGTTACAAATAGTCTAGGAGATACAGAGAGGTCTAAGATAGGCCCCTGCTCTCCAAGAGTTTACAACGCACTTGTGAGATCAGGTACACACACAGAAAAGATAACTGTCAATCAAAAATTATTAATGATAAGCATCAAGAAATTATTTATACATTGAGAGTTGTGGAAAGGAGGGTAGGAAAGGGATGGAGTGGTTAGAGAAGGCTCCATGAGAGAAGTAGTGCTGAGCAAGTCCTCTAAGCATGTGGAGGGCTTGGCTAAGGGGAGAGGGCCTTCCAGATTAGGAGAACAGTTTGAACATAGATGAGAAGGTGGAAATATGAAAGGCATGCTAGATTCTATTAATGGGTCCTTTCTGTTGGCACTGTGGTTTAAGGGGGTGAGTATATTGGAGTTTTTCAAAGCTGTTCATGCCTAAGCCAGTGAGGGAAAATGTCTTTGGTTTATGACCCCCTCACTCTCACTCCAAGGGAAATGGAGTGTTTTTAGACCTTGGAGGTATTAACTGTCTGCTGGGAAACATTTTGCTCTCCCACCTCAACTGCAATCCCAGGCAGCAGCTCAACTGTCACTCAGATCATAGATACATCACTTTGAGCATGAATGTTCCATACTGGAGCCTTTGTATGCCTTCTAGCAGCTCTAGAATATCTTCTGAAGTATGATGGGGGGAATATAAAAAGTGACAGGAGGCCCACCTGTTGCTATGGTCTTTCAGAGACTCTGTAGTGCTCTGTGGGTAGACCCCAGGGCACCTGATCTCAGCCTTTGGGCTGATTTTCCATTAGACTTGAAGATTACCTGGAGGAAGGAGGGGGGTGCCTCTCTCTGGCACAGTAGAAATACCCACCGGAGCCACCACACATGTCCACCCAGTTTCTTAGAACCAAAGTTCACATTCTTGGCCAGCGTTGATAAGTGGTATCTTCTTCAGTCCCCCACAGCTCCCACGTTGTCATGCTCCAGTCAAGGGCCATCTCTAGGAAAACAGGTTTACTGTTCCTAAGGAAACCATTGTCTAGGGCCCTTAGTCTGTGGTTTAGAGAAGAGTTCAGGTCAGGTACCTCAGAGGGAGGCAGGAGCTCCAGTGAAAGTTGGGACCACAGCTTCTGAGGACCTTCCTCAGTGAATGGAGTCAAAGTCTGCTGCTGCCTTGAGCTTTCACCGTGTCTTCTTTCCTTGTCCTTTCCTCTAGCCATGGGCTTCATCCCTGACCCACAAGTGTGAGGAAATTCTGGAAAACAGCTTTGGCCTTCTTTTGGTCCCAGGCTGCTTTTCCCTCCTCTCATCCTGCGCCCAGTTGTTTTCTGTTCCCTGAATCTCATAGGATAGCTTTATGATTGTTCATACATAAACCAGTCTGGACACTGTGAAATCATAAGAATAGGATGCAGACTCCAGAACACATTACTGACCAATCAGTTTCTTTGGAGGGAGACTTGATAGGAGGCTAGAGTCATGCCCATCAAAAGCTACCACTCCTCCCCATCCCCCAACAAAGAGCTAAGAACCAACCTCAGCCAGAGGGAGGTTGACCACAAAGAGGATCAGTCAGTAGGATGTGATTAGTGGGCTTTTGGATGGATTTTGGATGTATTCTCAGGTAAACCAAAAGGCAGAGAGGAGCCTCTGGGGTCTGGCCAAAGTTAGGGGAGAGGGATTTGAAGTTCAAGGTTGAGGACTCAGGGCGGGGGGACAAGGTGAGGGAAATAGAAAGGCTAGCTTGGTGAGCATTCTTAGCCATTCAACCTGCATGCTGTCACACCAGCTCCTGTTTCTGCCTTCACCCAATCCAATGGCCAAAGTCAGTCTATTCTCAGCAGCACCTTCTGACAATCCAGTGGCAATGTCCTTCACCTGTGGCCCTAGTGGGGCTGTCCACTGGTTTTTACAGATCCAGCCACCCCCCAGCTCTGGCCCCTGGTTCTTCACACATACCCTGTCAGGCTGTAGGAGTTAAACTCACTCTTGACTTTGGGTGGTTGGCCAGGTCTTGGAGAGCTCCTAGTGGCAAGAGGCTGGGCCTGGTAGGCATCATAGTAGTTGGAACGATTTCCTTGGGTTGTGCAGGAAAAGCAGAGGATGATTCCAGCTATCAGAGAAAATAGGGAGGAAATAATGCCTAAATAAAGAGCCTCTCCAATTTCAAATTTCATGCTGTCAGGCACCAGTGGGGAGTAGAAGTCCCTCAAGATCCCATGAAGATTCCACACAACAGGAATAAAGCCCAGGAGGCCTCCAAGGATGAAGAAGACTCCACCTACTACAGCCACTCTGTCTTTGGCTCGGGATTCCTGGCAGAAGACTGTGCACCTCATGCCTACCACAGAGATAATGCAGGCCAGTGAGGAGATTGCACTGGATGTCACCATCATGGCCTGGGCAGCCTGGATGTCTGCCGGAAGTCCTAGAAGCGTGCTGTAGATGTCACACTGGGTGATGCCTGTGCTGTGTGTGGCACACTCCATCCAGAGGCCCTTGGAGAAGCCGACTGCTGTCACAATGCTGGCACCGACATAAGAACTCGTTCGCCAGCTGGGGAGAAGCATGGCAACCAGTGTGCCCAATAGCCCCAGAAGGCCTAGAATGTAGCCCACAAGTTGAATACCAAGAGAGGCCATTGCAAACCTCTCAGTAGAAGTGTCTTCAGGGCCTTCTCCCTTGTCTTCTGGTTGCAGCTCTTACTCCTTGTCTCTTAGCCTCTAATCTCTCATTTCAGCGTGTCTCTGCCAGGTTGACTTCTCTCCTTACAAGTGTCTGTGGGTGGCCGCAACCAGGCTCAAGAAGGTATCTAGAAGACCTAAAAAAAAAAAATTTATAAACCAGATTAAATATTGACCAGAAGCTTATGAGAAACCAGAAAATGCTGAATGCCTTTTGACCTTTGTTATCTTTAGAAGTAACACATGAGAAAGGGGGAAAAAAAAGTTGAAAGTGGAGCCAAAATGTCATCACCTCCTGCGTAGGCACATGCCTTAGGTTGGCAGCCAGACAAAGCTAGTTGCCAGACAGGTGGCTGCTTTCTGGGAAGGTGGTGATGGCAGTAGTGTTGTGGTAGCTATGTTAACTCCACTGTTAGTCTCCAAAGCCTGCTGTTTCACACATTGCCAAGCAACAGTGTCACAGGGCCCCTCAGTTGAAGACTGAGGCCCAGCTCCAGGGGACTGGATCAGGAGAAACAGGTCTTAGAATGTAGGCTTGGCCTCCAGCTTATTAGAGGCCTCTTGAATCTCCAAGGGCCTAGAGAGCAGTGACCTATCCCTGGATCACACTACAGATAGTGAAAACCTATTCCAGGACAGATTGGGGAGTATAGGCAAAGCCTTCTGTCTATACTCTTGAGTGTTCAAATCCTCCAAGTCCTGCTCAAATGCCCACCTACAGGCTAGCCTAAGGCCTCCTGCATGTATAACACGCCAGACATTTCCTATCTGGTTTCCTAATTGTTGTCCCTACCAGCCTTAATAGATGCTCCCATCATCAGCCTTTCAGGTGATGTGGAAGGCCTCTGGAGCAAAGGTTGTTTCAGGGCCTGGCCCTGCAATTCCCTAGGCTATATGTTAGGGGCATGAAGGCAGACAGAAGAAAGGGAGGGTGCTCTAGAATGGCTTTCTTTATCTGAGCCAATCCTTTGGAATCTCAGAGCTGTATAGAATTTTGCAGTGTTCAGGAAGTCCCTACTCTTGTCAAAGTTCAGCCCACTTGGTTTTCTTTTCTTTCTTTTCTTTCTCTCTCTCTCTTTCTCTCTCTCTCTTTCTTTCTTTCTTTTTCATTTTCTTTTTAGGTTTATTTCCACAGGGCACAGGAACTCACTGGAGAGAAAGACAGAGACAGAGAGAGGGAAAGGGAGAAATACTCCCCCCATCCCCCAAGAGGGGATGGTCATGCCACAATTTCTTCTCCTCTCTTCTCCTCTTGTGATTCTGGGCATGCATGCACATGCACTCAGCATGAGTTTCAAGCCACTGGGTCCAGGACTTGAACTGCAATCACCATGTGAGAGTCCAGCACCTTAACTAGCATGCCACTTGCTAGCCCCAAGCTCACTGATTTTTCTTCCCACCACAATCTATTTTGTTTTATCTTTCAAGATTTCTCTTTTCTTACTCATCTCTTTAATATGAGTATTCCTCAGAATTCTATCCTTTCCCAAGAACACTCTGTCCCTAAGCAATCATCTGCCTCCATGGCTTAATAAAGTGCCCATCCACTGGCACTCTCAAATCTGAATTTCCAGATAGATTGACAGAGCAATTACCTAATGAATATGTCCACATAGAAATCTCATAAAAGCACTTTTATTTTGACATCCTCCAACTCATCATCTCCTCCATGGCATGTCTCCCAAAACAGTTCTTCCCTGGGTTTGCTATAGTCACTGAATTATAGACACCTCTATAGATTTAATTTCAACAAACCAAAATATGGGGAGTGATTCTTGACTTCTTTCTTGTCCTTATCAACCCTTCATCCTACAGTCAGTATGTCCCACCAGCTCTACCTCTCCAATATACCTCAAATCCATGGCTCTCTTCTCTCCATCTCCACTGATACTTTATTAGTTTAGAGCTTCATCATTCTCTCTCATGTGGCGTATAACAACAGCTTCATAACTGGTCTTATTTCCAATCTTGTCTCTTCCAAGTCATTCTCCACACTGTCACCAAGGTGATCTTTCAACACATTAATCTAATCAACTCACTGCTCTACATAAAACATTCCAATGGCTCCCTGTTGGCTAAAGAATAAAGTTCAGGGCCAGCCAGGTGGTGTGGTGGTTAAGGCAGCTGGAGGCCACATAGTCGACTGCTCAATTTGAATTCTGGACCTGCTAGCTTGAGAAACACACTTGGCATGTGTGCATGCATGCCCAAAAGACCAAGAGGAAAATGGAGGAGAAGAGATTGTTGCATGGCCACCCCCTTTGGGAGTGATTTCTTATTTCTCTCTTTTCTCTCTCTCTCTCTTTCTCTCTCTCTCATGAGTGCATGCACCCTGTAGCAAAAACTAAAACTAACAAAAACTTGATAAAGAATAAAGTCCAAACTTGTTTGTACTCCATGACCTTTCAAGCTTCATCTCTTGTCATTCCCTTCCTCACAGTCTATACTCTTGATTAACTAAATTACTTTCAGTCCCTCGGGCATGTCATGTGGTCTTTTGCTCACAAATCTGGGCACAGACTGTTCTATGCAGAATACCCTGCATTCTTCTTCCTCTGTTTAGTTCCTTCTCATCCCTTAGGAGTCACCTCTGGTGTATCCAAGTCTAGGCTGAGAAGTGCCCCTCCTCTATGTTCTTACAGTATCCTGTGTTTACTTACTCCCATCATAGTAATAGTAACAATAATAAAAGTAATACTTATATAGTGTTTCTTATATAATCATTATAAACACTTTACTAATATTAGCTCATTTAATCATCACAACTTTTTGTGGTAGGTACTAATAATACCTACTATGCTGAAGAAGAAACTAAAGACAAGACAGTTCTCTAGTAGTACATAGCATTTTCCTGTTTTACATTATTTTTTATTCCCTGCTAGTCTGTGAGTTACTTGAACACAGGGATTGTATCTGATTTATCTCTGTATCACATATGTCTTTCACAGTGATTTGCTCAGAGCAAATGTTCAAAAAAATATTAATTGGTAAATAAAAGTGGTAAATAAGGGACCAGCACATGGTGTAAAGATTACGTTGCTGGGGAACCAGCAGTTAGCGTAATGGCTATGTCGCTGGACTCCCATGTAGTCGACCGTGGTTCGCGTCCTGGACCCGGTGGCTTAAAACTCACGCCGGGCGCGTGTGCGTGCGTGCCCATGATCCCGAGAGGAGAATGGAGGAGAAGGGATTGCGGCGTGACCATCCCCCCTGGGGGGTGATTTCTCGCTTTCTGTCTCTCTGTCTCTCTCTGTCTGTCTGGCGAGCGCACGCGCCCTAT